TCCTACATGGATCCCCCTTCCCATGGCTGCTGTGTCCTGCACTGAGGGGTGGGGAATCACCTGGGAGGGTTTTACACAGGATCACACCTGGGAGATGCCACAAGGGCTGGGCAGAGCCTCAACTGCCAGGGCACGAGGCTGAAAGGAGCTGGGGCTGCCCAAACCCAGCTGTGAACCCACAGCTAAAATCCCACAGCTTTGTCCCTCCACAGCCTGGAGGACACTGGGAGGAGATGGAAGGGCTCCCAGGTGAATGGGTGGAGCTGAGCCAAACACCCCCAAACTCTTCCAAATGTGGAATGAATTATCTGGGATGAGTCTCCTCTTGATTTGACATAGGAGGTTTCAAGTTTCATGGCATCTTACATTATTGTTTAAATTTGTTTCAGGCAAGAAACACACTTTTTAAGGCCAGGAATACAGATTTGTGAGATGCTAAGACACCTGAAAAGCAAGAATACAGATTGTAGGATGAATATTTCACAGAGTAATTATTTAAATATATTCAAGTATGAACATCTTTAGATCCTAAATTTAGTATTCCTTAAAAACATAATATTACAATAAGATCTAGCCCGCTCTCACATTGTTCCTCACATCCCAATTCTCTGTTTGAACCAGCTGGTTTTTTTTTAATTGTGCTGTGGTTGTTTATTTAAAGCATCCCACTGGTATTTCTGCCCCAGACTTTAACTTTTGGCACGGCAGTGGCACCTGTGGTGCAGGATGGCACAGAGGGGCTCCTGCTCCCTGCAGGGATGGATGCCCTGTGAGGTGGGGTTTGGGCACAGCCTGGGCACAGCCAGAGCCTGCAGCAGTGTCAGGGTCGCTGCTGCTCACAGTGACCCCAAGAAGAGTTGGAAATTCTCTTTTCCCAGCCCGGCACTTGAAGAAGGAGTCAGAGCTCTTCATTTCTCGATCTCAAGGTTGTTTATTGTTCCTTATCTATAAAATTCTTTCTCCTGCCCTGCCAAGGTCCATCCAGCAGGACAGCTCCAGGCACTCTGCCTTCCCCAGGGCAGTGTTATGTCTTTATACTAAAAACTACATGTACAATGTTTACAGTTACTTTCCAACACCTATCGCCTATGTTAGACAGTGAGCTTCTACTCTAAACCAATCCAAAAGTGCCACCATCACAGCAGGAGATGGAGGCCAAGGAGAAGAAGGAGAAAGGCTGGACACACCCAGATCCCTCCATCTTGCCCCCTGAACCCCCATACCAAAAACCCCAAAATCTACTTTTCCACCCCGTGAAAACTTCACTAATATTCTACCTAAACTGTTGTGGCCTGCTGATCCTCATACAAGGTTGGTAATTTGCTCCACGGGTCACAATCAAACCCACAGGGGCACTGTGGGCTCTGTGCCAGGGGCTCTGGGCCCAGCTCTGCCTTTGGCAGCTCAGCTCTGCAAGGAGCAGTTTGGAGCCACAGGAGCCAGCCCAGCCCAAAGGCTGCCATTTGGACCCTGATTTCTTTTCCCAATTTGTTTCCCTGTTTCCAAGCCCTGCACTAACCCAAAGTGAACCTTCCCTACCAGAAGGGCCCTTTCTCATCCCAGAACTCTGAGTAATTTCAAATCCAAATGTGCAATGCAACCTCAGCCTGGGTGATGCTATGAGAAGGAAGAGTGTGCAGTTTGCTTTATGTGCTTTTAGCTGTTCTACCCTACACTGCAACATGTGCACCCACTCTTGTAACCTTTACTGCTGTGCAAAGATGATCTGTCATTTCTACAGGAGATATATATATATTTATTTATTTATTTATATATTTATTTATTCCCAGGCAGCCCCGAGTCCTGACTGCCCTCTAGAGAAATTCTGCTGCAAAAGCTCAGACCCACAGAGTCAGCAGAAAATAACTGCAGCCCTAATCTGAAGTACTGCAGCCCTGATCTGAGCTGCAGCAGCTGCCCAGGGGTGGGTGACAGGGTCTGGAGGGGCAGAAATGCATTCCAAGGATGGTTCCTCTCACTGTCCTTGGGAGCTGTGCCACAAACACCCCAACCAGCCACTGCCTGGGCAAGATCAGCAAAAACTCCTTTTCCATCTTCCACGGGATGAAGTGGAAAAGAAATGAAATTTTTGGTGGAGAAATTAAAAACTGCATTGTATTCACCTCACTGGCACACGATGCTTAAAATTCTGGAGGCTGCACACCTGAAACTCTGTGTTCTTACCCTGTTCTCACACTTGTAGCTCGCGCTGGATGTGTCTGAGGATGGGCCTGGCTGTGATTTCCTCTCTGCAGACATCCCAGCCCCTCCTGGATGTGCTCCTGGTGTCCCTGACCCTGCACTGGAGCATCCCCAGAGCTCCCTCCCCAATCTGGGGCTCAGAGAGTGCTGCAGGGCCAGGTGAGCCCTGAGGGACCCCTTGCTGCAGCTCCAGGAGCAGCTTGGGGCAGGATCCATTTGTGCCATTCTCCAGGATCACAGCATCAGAAGGAAGTGCAGTTCTGCAGTGCTGGGGATGTTATCCCACATGCTTGGGGCAGCACAGGGAAAATGGCATTTTAGCCATGAGAAACAGGGCAGGGCAGCTCAGGATGCACTCAGCAAGCTCAGATCCTCTTTGGACCTGATGAAAACCAGAGAAGAATGTAAAATGTGTATTTCTGTGTGTATAAAACAGCCAAATCTCACTATCCTGCAGGATCTTCCTCATGGACCAGGCTGTCACTGAGGGTTCCTGTGCAGAGCTGAGCTCACAGGGTCTGTCCTGCCCACACAGAGCCCAGGAGAGCTGAAAGGGGCACAGGAGCTGGGCTGGAGCAGCCTGGGCTGCCCTCTAATGGCACCTGTGCCAGAGCACACCTGGATCCTGCTGGATGGGCCAGAGTACACCTGGATCCTGATGGATGGGCCAGAGCACACCTGGATCCTGCTGGGATGTCCAGAGCACACCTGAATCCTGCTGGGATGTCCAGAGCACATCTGGATCCTGATGGATGGGCCAGAGCACACCTGGATCCTGCTGGGATGTCCAGAGCACACCTGGATCTGCTGGGATGTCCAGAGCACACCTGGATCCTGGCAGGAACACTCCTGGATCCTGCCTTGTACAAAAAAAATGCTCCAAACTTTTCTGAAATGTAAGAAAGGTTCTGCTCAGTTTGAGGCAAAGTTGCACACAGGGTTTTGCTTTATCTGAAGCACCTTTTTTTCTGTGGATTTATTAATTGTCATTTCCATTGACTCTTTCTCCTCTTCTCCACTGACTAATGTGGAAATCTGCAAAGGCCGAATTGAGGGTTTGGGCTCAGTTTGAGTTGTTTAGACATTTTTATTTATTTTCCCAGTATTTTTGATCTGAGGCAAAGGTAGCTTTGTGCTCTGATTTTGTTATCACTGCTTAGAAATGCTTCCTGAAGATCCCCTGCTATTTCCTCAGTGCAGGTCAGAGGCAAAGTTCCTTTTCCAGAAGATCTGTACCAACGTGGAAAGCCAGAATTGAAAGGACCTTCCCCTGCTGGGCAGGAATTTCAGAGATTCCCATGGGAAGGGACCAGGATTATCTGGTTCCACATCACAGGAACTGCAAAGGTGAGGAACACCTCCCCAAACATTGATTTTCCCTGTTATTCCAAATGATTCCCTTTGAGCTGGGCAGTGTGAGGGTGGGGAGCTGGAGCAGCTGAAATGGGAGTGGTGGGGTGGGCAGAGGGATTTGCAGCTCTGAGCTCCCCTGGATCCATTAGCACCCCGGCCCTGCTGGGAGGGGAAGCACAGCAGCACCTTTCTGCTTGACCTGCCACAAAAGCAGCAGCAAATCCCTTTATTCCTGCAGTGGCACTTTGGCACTGTCCCCTTTCCCCAGAGAGCAGGGGTGGGATGAGGGAATGGACAGAGAATTCACAGGGAAATACTCCAAAAACTGGGATTTCATTTCTCTCTCTGTTTGCTCTGTGTCAGGAGGGCCTACAAAAGGTGAATTTTAACGAGCAACCAACCTCATGGAGGCATCTGAATCACACCCCCAGAGCTGGTGAGTGATTTATCTTACCATTGGTTCTGCGCCTTTGCTTGGGACTAGAAAATCTCCCTGAAGCTCAAAAAATCCTCCTGGCAAACACTTGTGCCTTTGCACACAAGAAATTGGTTCAAATAATGAATAATTGGTAAAAACTGGTTTAAACACTGAATAATTTCCAGTGAAAACTTGTTCAGGCAAGAACACACCCAGCTATCTCTATTATCTGACTAATCCTGCCCTGCCAATGGTACCTGAGCCCAGCTTGGGCAGTGCCTGCCCAGCTCATTGGGAGCACAGACTGTGCCAGAGGAGCCTTGGCTGTGGCCATTGTCCCTGCAAGAGAATTTCTGATGCATCCCACCCCAGGTCCATGATGTCAGACATGGACTGAACTGGGTTCTTTGGGGTGGAGTCCAACCCTGGCAAATTTTCTTCATTGCACTTGTCAGCTGCATTATTCAAAACAGCTTAATCCTGTCTGGCTCCTTGCACACAAATGTAACATGCTGATAATATCCATTCCCTTTCTTCTGTACCTTTGTCTCTCTCCATTATCATAATTCTGTCTTCCAGCTTTTTCCTCTGCTGAGCTTTCAGAGCCCTCCCTAATCAACATCTGACACAGAGGGAAGATGGGTGGCACCAGGGTGGGTAAAAGGCTGTGCTGCAATTTGAGGGGCTCTGCAATCATCTCCAGGAGTGACAGCACAACCCAAGCAGCAGCCACAGCTCCCTCACTCTGGGGAGAAACTATTTGATTTTAGCTAGAAATGTATTTATATTTATGTGCATACGCTTGTACACGTCAAATATTAATTTCTTTTATTCTAATTTCCTCTCATTTCCATCTGTCCCTGCTCCTCATCAGGCTGGGGCTGGGCTGGCTTTGCCTTTGGGGCGTCACAGAGCATCATTGCAGGCAGGAGCTGTGCCAGGAGGGCACCCCTGCTCTGTCCCATCAGGGCTGTGGGCACTGCTGTGGCTCTGGCACCCCATACAGGCCCTGAGGGCCTGGAGCAGGGAAAGGCAGAGCAGGAGGTGCCAGCTGTGCCCCCAGCCCCAGGCGGGCACAGGAAATGCCCTGCAGGGCCTGGAGCAGGGAGGGCAGAGCAGGAGCCCAGCCCTGAGCCCACAGAGGGGCTGGCCAAGCCCAGCCATTAAATGTGACCCCAAGCTGCTCCCGTTC